TTTTTTCTGGGAAACAAAGTATATATTTAGAATTAGGGACTCAGTTTAGATGATCCCAATTTTGTTGACAATATCCAGTGCATCATAATTGGGAGCCCATCGAACACATGCCTTCTTTTCTCCATCAGGCCTGATTAGGGTATTGACCTTGGCAACATCGATGTCATAGAGCTTCTTTACAGCTTGTTTGATTTGGTGCTTATTGGCTTTGACAGTCACAATGAACACGAGTGTGTTGTTGTCCTCCATCTTATTCATGGCTGACCCTGTAGCCAGCAGGAGCTTGATGACGGCGTAGTGGTCAAGCTTGTTTCTGCTGGGGGCGCTCTTCCGAGGGTATTTGGGCTGCCTCTGGAGCCTCAGTGTCTTGGGATGGCAGAAGGTGGGTGACATTTGTATCTTTTTCTTTTTGTGGCTGTGGATACCTTTTAGCACGGCCTTCTTGGCCTTCAAAGCTTTTGCTTTGGTTTCAGCTTTGGGAGGGGCAGGGGCTTCCTTTTTTGCCTTCAGTGCCATCTTGGTAAAAAGGCTCTCTCAACCTGATGATTTTATGATACTGAATTTTCCCAGTTAAAAACATGCGTTTTTCCTTTATGGCTCTCAAAAAGATCTTGTAGTTTCTTTTCTATAGGCCCTAGTCTTTTTTGTTGTGTGAGTGGTGGTATTGGAGGTTAAGCCTAGTGCCTTGGACTTGCTAGGCAAGGGCTGCACCACTGAGCTACACTCTGGGCCCTTGTTCTCAGATCTGTTAAACTGATTTCCAGTCAGGCATGGTGGCATACACCTGTAATCCAGCACTCAGGAGGCTGAGGCAGGAGGATCCTTGTGAGCCTGGGCTATACAGTGAGCTCAAGACCAGCCTGAACTGCATAGTGAGATCCTGTCTCAGAAAGACAAAAAAATAAGAATTGATTTCCAATTGTATTATGTTCAGCACAGTCACCCAGAGCAACTTGAAGCCCTGAAACTCCTTCGTGGTGCACAGGGGTACCATTTTATCTCTAGTGCCTCCTTTGTAGTGTAGTTTTTCTCCATTTAGATATGGTCAGGTACATAAACCCTTACCTTTGTATTACGGTAGCCTACTGTTGTCATCACAGTAGTATGCTGGGCAGGCTAATAGCTGAGGAGCAGCAGGCTACCCCACGTGGGCTGAGGCCTGGGGTGTAGCAGGCCGTCACATCTAAGTCGGCCTAAGCACCCTCCATGATGTTTGCACAGCGGTGACATCATCTAAAGCCCACTGTTAAGTAATCTATAACTCTATTGGAAAGATGTTGTTGCTGTTACACAGGAGAAAAATTTCCATTCTGTTTTCCAGGAAATTATTATTCAAATAAAAGATACTGATACATGTGCTTTTAATTTATAAGTTACCTTATGAAGTTTACTATTATTATTAATTATTATTTCTTTGCAGTGCTAGGTAATGAACCCAGGGGCCACTCTACCACTCAGCCTTTCACTACCCCTAGCCATATACTTTTTAAAAATTTTGGGACAGGGTCGTGCTGAGGTGCCCTGGTTAATCTCACACCTGGGATCCTCTTGTTTCAGGCTCCCAAGTAGCTGGGACTATCGTGTGTACCATGCTTGGAGTTTATAAATTTTTTTTTTTTTTTTGCAACAATGTTTTGCTGTGTAGCCCTGGCTGGTTTAGCACACATAGCGATCCTCCTGACTCAGCCTCCTAGGTGCAGGGATTACAGGTGTGCCTCATCAAGCCCAGCTGGAGCTTAATTCTAATGTATTTTGTAGTGTAGAATATTTTGGACTCTTTGGATATAAAATAATATCATCCACAAAGTGATGACTTTATCTTTTTGCTTTTTTCCCATGTTATAGCAATTAACCTGTTTCCTTGTTCTTGTTATAATTTCCAAAGTGATATTAAGCATTATGATAGAAGCAGGTGGCCCTGCCTGGTTCTCACTGGGTTTTATTATTATTACAGACATGGTATGTGCCAGGAATCAAGTGGTGCTCTTGGGCCCAGGAATTCCCTGTAAAGCCTGGCCCATGTGCGTCTGCACACTGTGAGGAGTGTCACAGGGGAGACTTTGAGTGCTGATGGCGCTCTTTTTGCTGTAGCGCTTTGCCATCTAAAGATGTTATCTGCAGGCTGTACCTGTCGCTCAGTGGTGCAGGACTTGCCAAACATGCATGTGTGACTCCTGGGGTTCCGACCCCTGCACTGTAAAAGAAAAAAATGCCATTTGCTATTTAATTTTGTCTTTGGTGCCAGGGTCTTAGCCTGTAGTCCAGGCTGGCCTTGAGCTTACTAGACAGCCCATGTGTCACCATGGTGGGCTCTGCTATTGATTTTTAAAACCAACGTTCTTAGTTTTATTTGCTTATTTATTTTTAATTTATTTGGTCCAGGGTCTCACTACACAGTTCAGACTCATAGTGATCCTCCTGTCTCAGCCGCCCCAGTGCTGGGATTATAGGTGTGAGCCACCATGCTCGGTTTTGGTGACTGGCTTGGTGTGCCTGGGGGTGGGGCCAGCATGGCATGTGGTAGGGGGGATCAACTCTGGTCCTTGCATTTGCCAGGCAGGCATGTAGATCACTGAGCTGTCTCCGCAACCAACATTCTTAGTTTTAAGTGAAATAGCTACTAAATTTTATCAAATGCTTAAGGATTAAATAATATAATTTATCTCTTTTAACTTGCTGATGTATAGTAATGAAATATGCTGCTATGTTTCTTGATATCTTGGCCTTTCTGGAATGTCCTACTTGATCATGCTGTCCACTACTGTTCATCTGTTGTACAGGAGGAGGCTAGGGCATGGCAACGTGGGCACAAGCTCCAACTGAGATGAGCATTACCATGGGCACAGGACCACAGCACCCCAGCTTGGCACGCGCTCGAGCTGAGCTGTGCCCCTGGTACTGATCTTCTGACGGATGAGCACAATGCACCTGGCACCTGATGGCGGTCTTCCCCACGTGATTGAGTGGGCCCACCAGGATCAACCAGCAGAGGAGACAACGAGAGGACCACAGTAGCCGCCTGTGGGGCCGGCACTCATGCTCTTGCAATGCTCAGCTCTGCTCGCAGGCTCCATCTTCTCTTTCTCCTTGATAGCACCCTTGTCCCTGAGGTATTTCATTTGTATGTTTTCCATCCCTTCAGAAAGAAGCCCAAGACGTTCCCTCCTGGGTGTTTTCATCTCGCTTCCTGGCCCATGATGCCAGCTGAGGTTCTCAACACAATGAAACCAAACTGACAAGATGCGAGCAGATTATTCTGCCATTTTTCCAGGTCTCTCAGCTGTATATCACGCCTGGGGCTAACCACTCCACACTTGTCTAACCTGCCCATGAGGTTCACAACAGTTTTTCTGGCCCTGTGATCATCAATGATTTCATGTTTGCCAGTGTAAACATGTTCCATCATCCCAGTTAGAAACGAGAGGGTGGCTTTGGAGCCTGGCCCAAGGAGGGCCTGGCCTTTGCCTTTCTTTCTTTTCAGCATTGTTGCTGCTCTTGAGCCCATCAGCTGGACATTCATGTGCACCCTTATGGCTCAACCACAAGAGGGAGGTCCGGGCAGCGTGGGCTGAGGTGGGCTGCCCGCGCTATAGCCTCTGCAGTGCTGCGACCTGCATCCCTAGAACCCCCCTCCCTGGGTAGAGAGCATGGGGCTTCAGGGGATGGGTCTCCTTCAAACCTGCCCAGATCCTGAAAGACAGCATCCCTGGCATGGGAAGTTCCCAACATCCTTGCAGAGACCTGAAATTGAGCCTCAGACTGTTGATTTTTTTGTGGAACCAGGGATTGAACTCAGGCCCTTGCACTTGACAGGCAAGCGCTTATTTTACTGAGCCATCTCCCCAGCCCCAGACTGTTGATTTTTGACAGTTGTAAAAAAAACAAAAAAACCCAAAAAAACCCCCAACATTTTGGATATAAATCGTTCATCTGATAGCTGCTTTGCAAAAACTGTGTCAGTACATACTGGCAGAAGCAAAGACGGCAACGATGGAGTTAGTTAAGAGATAATTTAATCATGGTCTAGAACATAAAGTTAGACAAAAAGGAGGCTGTGAGATAAAGACTGTCTCTGAGCTGGGACGACAGTCCCAGAAGGATGCTCCTCCTGCGCGGTCCACTCCTTCTCGTTCATCTCCTACTACACCTCACAGCACTGTCCTCACTCACAGCCCTCCGTGTGTGTCGGGCTTGCTCTTCTCCTCCAGAGAACATGGCTCTGAACGGATTGGCTGCCTCCTGGCTAACTGGAAACCTCACACAGACACAGTGTGTTCCTCCGACACCTTGTGATGGGCTCCCATTTCCCTCTGCTTAGGCACTTTAGTCTGGTTTTGAAGTTTTCTTAAGAAACAGAAGTGGGCTCCTTAATTCCCACAATCCTGTG